GTGCTCGTCAAAAAGCCAAATGGCAAGTGGAGGATGTGTATTGACTTCACCAACCTCAATGATGCGTGTCCAAAAGACCCTCATCCCTTGCCAAATGTCGAGAAGTTAGTGGAGCGGGCAGCTGGGCATGAACGGATGAGTTTTCTTGACGCCAGCTCGGGCTATCACCAGGTTCAGTTGCTGTTGGACGACCAGGAGAAAACAGCTTTCTACGTAGGGGACGCTATCTATTGCTATGTGATGATGCCATTCGGCTTGAAAAATGCTGGCGCTACATATCAGAAGCTAGTACAAATCGTCTTCAAGCTCCAGATTGGCAGAAACATAGAAGTGTATGTGGATGACATGATAGTCACCAGCGTGCGAGCTGAGGACCATATAGACGACCTGAGTGAGACCTTTCAGAATTTGCGCCGAGCCCAAATGAAGCTGAACCCTCTAAAGTGCACGTTCGCTGTAGAATCAAGAAAATTCCTAGGATACGTGGTATCCAAGAAAGGAATAGAAGTAAATCCAGAGAAGGTTGAGGCCGTTCAGCAAATGGAGCCGCCAAGGACTGTCAAAGACGTGCAGCGTTTGACGGGCCGTGTTGCTGCGCTGCACAGGTTTGTAGCCAGGTAGGCAGAAAGATGCCTTCCGTTCTTTAAGGCCCTGCGAGAGCCCAAAAGTTTTCAATGGACCGATACGTGTCAGCAGGCCTTTGACGAGCTCAAACGATACTTGGCGTCAGCACCCCTGCTGTCCAAGCCTGTGGAAGGGGAGAGTTTGTATCTGTATTTAGGGGTTACAACAGAGGCGATTAGCTCAGTCCTACTCAGGGAAGAGGATAAGAACCAGAAGCCTATCTGTTATGTAAGCAAAGTCTTACAGGGCGCCGAGCAGAACTACCCACTAGCGGAAAAGGCTGCTTTTGCCCTGGTTTACACAGCTCGTAAGTTGAGAGCCTACTTCCAATCACACTAGATTATTGTCTATACCGATTTGCCGTTGAGGAGGATATTGCAAAAACCGGAACTCTCTGGTCGGCTCATCGGATGAAGTGTCGAACTGAGCGAGTATGACCTTAAATTTCAGCCGCGCACGACTATAAAAGGCCAAGCTGTGGCAGACTTCCTAGTCGAATGTGCCCCGTGGGCTGTCAAAGAAAAGGTATCTGAATACCCAGTTTGGGTTTTGTATGTTGATGGAGCTGCTAATGTCGAAGGATCAGGTGCTGGAGCTGTGTTACTAGGCCCTGATGGCTTCAAGTCTGAGCACGCACTAAGGTTTAAGTTTCAGACGACCAATAATGCTGCAGAATATGAAGCCCTCATATATGGATTGAAGCTGGCGGCCGAGCTGAAGGTACAAAGCATTCAGGTCTTCAGCGACTCTCAGCTCGTCGTCCGCCAGGTGAATGGCAGTTGCGACATCAGGGATCCCCAGCTCGGTCGTTATGCCTCTGTGGTCAACAGATTGAAGTC